ACTTTTTCACACCACTGTATAATACGTAAATGTATTAATAAAACAAAAACGAGCAAAAACACTGAAAATGGAGGAAAAAGAAGATAAAAGGTGAAATATTTGTAATAAGTTGGTTGTTTGTTCAACCACAAAGCATCTGAATCATAAAACAATCCACGAAAATGTCTATAATAAGAACATGTTGAGTTTATATTATATATATTTTAATCTTACCTTACTGCTTACTGGCATTCTTCCTTTCCTAACACAACACGGCGTCCTCACGACATAAAGACACTGTTCCCGTGTGTAATGTGTGTGTCGATTCTTGTAGGACAACGTGAAGCCGTTCTACCGCACTCTGATCAACTTCCTGGCTCACAACAGTCTGACCGTGGTTGTCTTCACGTTGTCCATACTGGCCAGCCTCACTCTGAATGAGAAGGTCGGAGAGAAGGTAGGTGGCAAACACTCTCTACCGGGATCTACTCGCATTTAATACGCCTGTGAACTGTTGTTATATTTAATTTATCGTTTATTCTTGGATCCCTATTGGCTGCCAACAAAGTACAGCTGCTCTGCCGGGGTTCACACACAGAAATACACACATACGCCTATAAAAAAAACACGTCTAATACGTCCTTTTTTAGTTTGCGTTTGATTTCTTAAAGATTACAGTTTTTATCTCGACAGCACAAATGACGTGTTGTTCCTTCTTTTCGTTGGTTCCCCTTTTCACTTCACTTTTTATGCGTTGTGTTCTAGTTGTCTGAAGATTTGCATCAGAAGGTTATTATTGGGGGTTGTGTCAGCTCTCCACCGCTGTCCGTCTCTCCTCCAAGCAGGAGCTCACTGGTGGTGAAACTCTGCTCTCACACACACTTAATATAACTGATACCGATCAGTAAACAGGCTAATGCACACTAACAGAAGAACAACTTAACAAAGTCGAGTCAAATTAAATTTGCATCCTGAGTCTCTTCAGGAAGAACAGTGGACTCGGTCCCGTCCTGAAGAGAGCTTCAGTGTCTCATATTGATTTGGACCGCGAGGTGCTTGTATGAGTCTTCCCCGGATGATGACCAGCATGGCTCATTGGTTTTGCTGATTGTGAGCTTTAGGTAATTGTTGCACTACGTGACAAAGTCCTCTGTAAGTGCAGCGCAGTTTCTCACTGGAATTATACATCAGTAATACACTTTTTATTAAATCCCTTCAAAGTCTTCACTACATATGAGTCTGGGCAGTTGGGATGTGTAAACTGCGAGGCTTTACTTTAATTGCAGTTATTTCCACTGTGAAAATAAACAAAATAGTTGTGGACAAGCTGCTTAATACCAGTCAGACTAACTCATCTTCTGTTTGTGGGTTTTTCCTTCAGCTCTTTGATGCAAAGAACATCCACCAGACTTTCCAGCTTGTGTTTAACATCATCGTGAACGGTGATGGTACTCTGACTAGAAAGTACTCCGTTGACCTTTTGGTTGACCTGTTGAAGAACCCCAAGATAGCAGTTTATCTTACTAGGTACGGCCACGAGCACATACATTTTCTCACGTAGAGTTTGACCGCAGTGTTTGCTTCTCGGCCACATTAACCTGAGTGTACATCTGTCTATTTCAAGGTATGAACACTTCTCAGCGTGTGTGTCTCAAGTTTTAGGACTGCTGCACTCAAAAGATCCGGACTCTGCAGCAAAGGTTAGACGAGTGGACGGTTTGCACATCCTGCATTTATCTGTATATGATTGTGTAACTTTACAAATGCACAGAAACCATCAGAGGTGTCAAACAAGTGTGTTTGATGTTATGTTGTGCATGAAATCATGTGTTATAATGTGACGCTCTGCAGCTGCATCTGCAGTAACCACTGACCTTTTTATGTGGTGGAAGTATGTTTGGCCTTTATTAGACAAAGGTCAGTAGATATATAGATCTATATTCACATCACTCTCTAAACAGCCTCAACCTTTTTCTCAATTAAAAATTAATAAAATTTCCCGTCACAGTTTCATCTGCGTGTTGTTTGCAGGTGTTGGAGCTTCTCTTGGCCATGTGCAGTGTCTCAGGTCTGCGTTCGCTGCTGTGCGAGGTGGTTTTCAGACCAGCGGGACCCAAACTCAGAGCTGCAGGCCGCAGGCAGGGCGCTGGACCGGACGGTGGGCGCAAAGCTGAGTGCGGACTCGCCCTGGTGCAGTGGCTGAGCTTGCCTGTGGAGGGCGCTGAGTCCTGCTCGCTCCAGACCCTGCAGCTGCTGAATGAGCTGCTGGAGGTACAGCAGACACTGACGAGACCTCTCAGCGTGGCGTAGTTGTTTGACCAAAATCTAAAAAGAAAAGATATTTATCTATATTATAAATAAATATCAGCAGCTTTTTTAAAGCATGTTTGCATTGAAAGAAATGAAACACTATAAGATAAGATAAGATATTCCTTTATTTGTCCCACAATGGGGAAATTCCGGACGAAATTCCTATGTAAGCTTTTGTACATTTACAGACCAAAACACCCAAATTTATTATATTAATTATATTATATTAATCATATTATAATTATTATATTATATTCATTATATTAATTTATATTATATTATATTTTTTTTTTGCCTACATTTACAGACCAAACACCCACAATTTATTATTTTTCTTGCATATTTATCTGTTTTTGATAGTGACATGACAGGAGTGGGAGATTATTTTTAAATACTCGTGCAGATCTGAGACCTTTTCAGCACTGACAACAAAACCTTATTTTGATGGTTCAAAAAAACTCTTTTTTTATTTACCACAAGCGGCTAAATTTCTCAAATGGTTAAAGTTTGATCTCGAGCAGACATGCAAACACTTTGTGTAAATCAATTAGCAAAATTATGAATTTAATCAGTAAATATTTGATGCTATCTTTTAGTGCCTGATAGTTTTCCATACTCAGTGTTCCGAACGCGTTTTGTTCGGTTGTGTCGCCTTGTGGAAAACCTCCTGTACATGTTCCAGCACTAGATGAGTTAAAATGACTTAGAAAAACTATATTTCCATAACTTAATAACGTTTCCAGTTTCCATAAACTTCCTGCATTCAGGTTTAAGTGTGTTTGAGTCTCTCTTTGAGTTTTATTCTCCGCTTCCTTTCCCTTTGTGTCGGTCCAGGAAGCGCTGGGAGCGGAGAGTGTGTCTGACTGTGTGCTGAGCTTCGTGGAAATGTTGCTTCCAGTCCTGTTGGGGCTGCTGAAGGGCCTCGATCCTGCACAGGGAGACTCTCACCTGAGGAAACACTGCCACCGCATCACACACGTCACCAGTCTGCTGCTCAATATCCTTTACCTGTGGGTGTGTGTGTGTGTGTGTCTGTCTGCGTCCGTTCTGAAGCCTTAACTCCTCCACTCCTCTGTGCTGAGGACGCCACCAGATCTATAGTGTCCCGCCAGGTGAGCGCCCAGCTCTGCCTCTCGCAGGTCGAATCCCTCCTCTCCTGTTGTCATAGCAACAGCCCCCTCACCTGCCTCCCTCCCGGCTCTGACAACGATCTCAGGTGAGTGGCGGCCGTAGTTTCCGATCGCCATTTCACAGCAACTTGAATGACAATTAATAATTAATATTTACAAATGTTTATATCCTGCTATATTGATTTTGATTAGACAAGACTTAATTATTGATATCAAATATTTGCTGATTAAAAAATCTAATAAGGGTTATTAATTGTTGGAGCTTAGAGAAAATAAAGCTTGTTCTGAAATGATTTGTTGCTTAATCAATTAGTCGACAGAAAATCAATCGGAAACAAATTCTGGTATTTGATTAAATATTATTGGTCATTTATCAGGTAAAAACTTTAAACATTTTCTTCTCAGATATGAGGATTTTTACTTTTCTCTTTTTCTCTAATTGTAAATTAAATATATTTGGNNTGACATTTTATAGACTAAAGGATTACTGTTATTCAATTAATCAAAAAAAAAGAAAAATCTATGGATTAATTAAAGTTACCATTAGTTGCAGTGCTCATTAATGAGACTATACAGGGTTAATTGTACAGTTTCAGTCATTTCATCATAACAGTTGCTGACTAGAGGCCTCGAGTTGTGTTTAACAGCATGTTCCTTATTTAAATAACTTCCATTTAGTTTCCTGTTAACTTTATTTACATTAATTCATTTGTGTTCCCTCAGCTGCTCTCGTTTTTAAACTTAATAGCGTATTAAATACAGTAAATTACCCCACCCAACAGCATATACAGTCTATAAAATTAGCTCTACAGCAGCCTGCTACAATATTAAAACCTTCATTAAAATCATCTTGCGGTCTTTGTGCAGAGTTGTGTGTGTTTTTGTGTTTTCAGTCAGCTGTATGCAGAAGCTCTGCTGAGGACTCTGGAGTTAATGAGCAAACTGAGGCAACAGGTGAAGGACATGGAGACCAGCTTCTACAGGATGTTGCAGGTACACACTCGTCTATTCTTTCACCCACTATGCTCATATCATTTGTTTTTCTTCCTGCTCTGTGGTTTTCTCTGTGGTCGACCGATACGGGGGTTTAACTGTTAAGCTGTAGAGTTGTTTAAGGGAGGGAGCATTACTTTATAACTTAATGTATATTTAACAGCAGCCTGTAACTGTTTGAGATTAGATTTGCTGTAACTTAGAAGAAACATCACCACCTTCCCAAAACTCGCCCAGAAAAGGAAGGAGTGACCGCTCCCCTCTCCTCTCTCTTCTCTCTGTCTCTTCTCTCTCTCTCTCTTTCTCTCCTGTCTCTTCTCTCTCTCTCTCCTTGTTTCTTCTCTGTCTCTCTCTCTCTTCTCTCTCTGTCCTTCTCTCTCCTGTGTCTTCTCTCGGCTCTGCTGGTGTTCTCCTCTCTCTGTCTCTCTCTTCTCTCTCTCTGTCTGTCTCTTTCTCTCTCTCTCTCTCTTTCTCTCTCTCCTGGTCTCTCCTCTCATCTCTCTCTCTCTGTCTCTCTCTCTGTGTCTCTTCTCTCTCTCTCTCCTCCTCTCTCTTCCTTCGGTCTCTCTTCTTCTCTTCCTCTCTCTCTTCTCTCTCTCTCTCTGTGTGTCGACCTTCCAGGACCAGAGGATCGTGACTCCCCTCTCTCTCGCCCTGACCTCCCACCACAGAGAGCGCGTGCAGACCGGACTCTCGCTGTTGTTTGAAGCTGCCCCCCTCCCAGACTTCCCCTCGCTGGTGTGAGTCACTCGCTGGAAACAACACATTTAAATAAAGTCACAGGATGCAGATATACGTATTTCTTTACACGATTTACAGGAAGATAGATAATAGAAGTCGTATACAGTCATTTATTTGGTTTACAGTCCATCTGTTTATAGGACTGTACATTAATCTAACCATCTTTCTGAAGTTTGGGAGAAAGTATCGCCGCCAACAACGCCTATCGCCAGAGAGAGGCTGAGCTGTCCGTCAAACGTGTTGCCGTGCAGGAAGTCCCACCTTCCAGCATACTGGACTCCTCCAGCAGGAGTGTCCACAGTCTGGTTGAGAAGATACAGAATGGGTTAGAGGTACAGTATGTATGTGTTTATAACTTCTTATGTTGTTGTACTTACTTCACGTTCAAAGCTTTATTTAAAAGCCTACAGTGTTTAAAGATACGATCCTTTTCATTTAAAGATTTGGATCATTTAATAGCCAGAAGTCGTCGCTTTGAGGCAGAGCTGTTTGTTTGTTTACCATCCTCACACATCTGCTCTCAGCTTTTATTTTGAAATGTGTAGCATGTCAAAATCTGAATTTATTTAGAGCTGCAGAAAAACTTTATATAGGAGAAATGAATCACAAATTCAGTTAAATAAATTAAATAAAACCAGAAACGGTGTCCGTCAGGGGTCTTCTATCATAATCTATTATTACCATTTTAGTAATTTTTACTTAATTACATTATTTTAATTATAGTGACATTAATCACTTGCAGTATTGCCCTTTGCCAACAAAAAAATGGTGTAACAAACGTTTTAAATCTTCTGTCTGTGCCGAACAGCACGGTGAAAGCCTTAAGATGAACTTTCTTTCAGCTGTCAGTGTGGAATGATTTATTTTCTCTGATGTTGTTGTTTTTTTGTTGTTGTTGTTGTTGTTTGTAGCTGCAGGAGAACGTGAAGGACTCACATGTGTCTGAGATCATCGACGTTTATGAACAGAAGCTCTCCGCGTTTGTGGTGACAAATAACTTTCCTCTGTTTCTGCCCCCTTGTGTTAAAACCCCCCCGCAGAGGAGTTTATTATCAGTTTACTGTTTGAAGATGATGACTCAGCTCTGTGGTATTATTTAAGGCTGCTGTTGATGCAGATGTTCCATTAAATTAGATTTAATGCTCGTACATTACCAGCAGAAAACTACTGCTTAAAAAAACAACCGTCGACTTTGAATCAATTAATCAATCATTAGTTTTATGATTACTTAGTTACAACATACAGTGAATTAACCCCCCCCCAACCCAGATATTAAAATGCATCTTAATAACAAACTAATCAAATTGTAAAATAAATAATAACTCAGTGTGGCTGCAGAGTGCTTTTACTTTAAGCACATTGTTAATATTTACATGCTTTTACTTAAGTAAGTCCTTCCAGTGACTTGTAACTGGAGTATTTTTAAATTGTGGTATTTATACTTTTAGTTACATAAAAGAGTATTCACAAAGATAAGATGTGCCGGACTGTTAAAGACATTACATTTCATTAGTTTTATAACTACTTGAGGGTTTATTGCCACGTAGGTTTTCACATACAGTGAATTTACCTCGGTAGATTAACAATAAACTCAGAAATATAAATAAACAACACAGAGAATATGTTATAAATATATATAATATAGCTGTTATTTAAATGAATGAAGAGCTAAATACTGTGCAGGTTAGCAGTGTGACATATAACCATATGGATCTGCTTTTAAAATGACGGCTGGCTCAGTTTTCTTTAACAGTAACGTCTCTTGTGCGTCTCCCCGTCAGTCCAAGGAGAGTCGACTGCAGGACTTGTTGGAGGCGAAAGCTCTGGCTCTCTCTCAGGCCGACCGTCTCATCGCTCAGTATCGCTTCCAGCGGGCTCAGGCTGAGGCGGAGGTAACGTTCACTCACACGTGGGGCAACGGGAATGTGGCGGGAGTTTTCTATTGTTTTACTAAACTCTGCTCCTCAGTTTAACCTGCAATCATTTTGATCCGATTTTCAATGGGCAGAAAATCAATTGTCCAATATTTTGATAATCAATCAATTATTTGAGTCGTTATGGAGCAAAAATGCAAAGAAATTACTGTAATTTTTCTGTTTTATGTCAATTTAAAGACATTAAAAGACATCAACTGGGATAGTTTTCTGACATTTTAGAGACAAAAAGCTGAATTGAGAAAATGATAGTGAGATTAATTAACAAATAATAACTTGCCTGTATGTAATGAGAAAGTGAGGCAAATCTGATAAAAACATTTTATTATTATTATTATTTTTATTATTAAGTACTTACATTGATACTCGTTATCAGCAATTATCCAAAAGTAGTTCCCGATTCAATCTTTAAACCTTGGATGTTGAAAACAAACTGTATTCCTGCTCATTATCTTTTTATATGAAATAAACACAGTGCTGGTAGAGCGCAGTCGGTCTCTCCGGCCGCAGTTTGATGCTTCCCCGTTGCTCTGCAGGCCTGTAAGCTGGGCTCTCTGCTGAAGGAGGCGGAGCGTCGGCGCGAGGATCTGCAGTGCGAGCTGGGCAGCCAGGTGCTGGAGGTGGAGCGCTCCAGAGCCGACATGGAGGAGCTGCTGCAGCACAACGCCCGGCTGCAGCAGGACTCGGAGGAGCACCAGGCCCTCAAGGGAGCCTACAACGCCCTGCTCAACAGGTCAGAGGCAGACAGACAGACAGGCAGGATAGATGGAAGAGACAAGATTTACTGTTATATACAGCTGGGAAGTGCTGACAAAACTGTGATGTAAATGTCAATAAGTTCATTCTTTTAATAAGTAATTAGTAGTAAAGTAAGTTTACTGCTCTAAATCCTCATAAGTGGTACATTAGGGGATGTTTGTCAAACAACAGTTCATCATTTTTAGATGAAGTTAGAACAACATCCACCGGTCAGTTAATCAGTCGGAGCTTCAGCAGCATCACGTGTGTGCAGGTTTACTGGTTTAATGTCTGTAACCGGTGAATCTCCTGCGCAGGTTCAACGAGAGCGAGCGGCTGCTGAAGGAGCTGCAGGCGGCTCACATCTCGCTCACCAAACAGAACGACACTCTGAGGAAGAGCCACGAAGCTCTGCAGCTGCAGCACGAGAAGTAACCCACGCACACTTTATTTAGTTTATTATTTATCTCTGGGCTTTTATTTATTTTTCATAAATACAGTTGTGAGCACATCAGTCAGCAGAGCGCTGTTTAAATACTGTCTGTCTTTCTCAGGGTGGCGTCGGTGTTGGAGGACAGAGAGGAGGAGATCAGGTCTCTCCACTCAGATCTGCAGCAGAAGAACAGCGACATCACAGGTCGGTCCGACCTCAGTCAGCTTGTAAAACCTAAATGCTCAGAGCCGCCTTAAAATAGTCTTATTTTTTGGGATTTCTCATCAGAAATAAAATAAAACTAAAAACTAGAGCCCGACAAATATGGGAGTTTTGGAACCGATCCAAACAAACTTTAGTTAATAGCAACAAACATCAGCAGTATTTACATTTCTGCTTATTCATTTCTATAATTAATTCCCGGCTGCTTTACGTTTGCCTCGTTCCCGTCAGGTCTGCGCGGTCAACTGCGGGCCGAGGAGGAGAAGGTGATGGAAAAGGATCGAGAGAGGAAAGATCTGGAAGAGACGGTTGACGTTTTGAGGAAGGAACTAAACAAGACGGAGCAGGCCAGGAAGGACGCCAGAATCAAGGTAACGAAGAGGAGAGAAACACAGGAGACCACAAACACGACAAAAACATTAAAGCTCCAGTGCATTTAGAATATTCATAGGTATGTTTTCATTAGTGTATAATCACCTGAATATAAGAATCATTGTGTTTTTATTGCCTTAGAATGAGGTGCTTTTATCTACAGACAGATTTATATATCTGTCTTCTTATTATCTAACAAACTTCTGATGTTAAAGTTTACGGCTCGTATTTTCAGGCATCTTTAATCTGTTATTTGATGCCATCTGAACTAATAGACTCCCATCCAGGAGGGAACGCATCAAAGTTTGAATAAATTCTGTTTGGTTCAAACTTCTAGTAGAACTTAGGTTTGCTTTGAAACATTTTTTTTTAATTTCAATAAACTTAATTCAATCTTTATAGTCCTGTAATCGTGTGGTAAAAACACACATCAGAGCCAACTTAATGACGATAACAAACAAGAACAGATGTTTTCAGCTAATCTAAGATGGTTTTTAAAAAGTTTATTTAGCTGAAGAAGTCAGAACATTTTCTCAATCCATAAAGGAGCAGTTTATTGAAATCAACACGCCTGGAAATACGTGGTTTTCACTGGACAATAAAGGTTAAAGATTGTAATCTGAAAAAGTAACTAAAGCTGTCAGACAAATGTAGTGAAGTAAAAAGTACAATATTTGTTTTATCACATGGAAACACTCAAGTAAAATTGAGTAAATTTACTCGAACTTAAACAACAACAACGTTCCTACAAATGTCAGATATTCGTATCTATTCAGTATCTAATGTTTTAGAGATCCGAAGCGCTGAACCTTTGGTCGCTGTGTCCCGTATTTTTCTTCCAGGCGTCGTCTCTGGAGCTGCAGAAGAGTCAGCTGGAGACGAAGCTGAAGCAGAAGGAGGACGAGCTGAACAAACACTCTGCGATGATCTCCATGATCCACAGCCTCAGCAGCGGCAAGATGAAGAGCGACGTCAACCTGTCGCTCTGAGGGAAGAAGGACAAGAATAGGTTTTAAAACTTTTATGGATAATGAACTTTTCTACTCTTAATAAAATATACTAAACTGAACTTGTATTTTTAAAGTCATAATAAAATCTTTGTATGTGTTTGTGTTGTGGTTGTTTGGTAAATAAATGATGCACTTAAATCCAGTTAATATATAATAAGATATAATACTTTTGTCATTCTTTAAAATACATGTATGCTTATAGTAATACCACCTTAAAGAGATCCTATTTAATCCCATTTTTCCACACCAACTATGAGCTTAATTGTTCTCTAGTGGAAATAATTAATAAAGGGAATAAAATAAGGGAAAACAGTTAAGATGATTTTGTACATTTTCTGTAATGGTAAATGGTAAATGGAGCTGTACTTGTATAGCGCCTTTCTAGCCTTCCGACCACTAGTTCACCTTGTTACTTTTAATAGTAATGAAGCCACTGTCATCCCTCCGTCCTGTCTGTAGAAAGTCCACGTTGAAAGGATTTCACTTCAGCAGCAGAATCGTAAGACTGATGATTAGCTTTTTGTTTAGGCTCGTGTTTCTTTGGGTCTTACCTGACCACTCCTGATGTGTTCCTGAGGACGGAGGCAGCGAAGCTCTGGGTGACGCCCACCAG